GTTCAGCTGTACTCTGAATAGCAGTCAGCTAGTAGGAGGGAAGAGAAGCACATTTCCACACTTAATACAATTTTGTGCATTCATCCGTGCTGAGTAGATGTGGTCTCCATAGTAGAAATGTTTGGAAGAAGGTGTCTGCAACTTTTGCAGCAAGTGATAGGGACAGAGAATTGGTACTTCACATACATTGCTCAGCAGCAGATGCATTTTGGGGGTAAAATGTGGGTTTGTGGGAAGAAGATAGGGGGATAAAGAATCATTCATAGGGCAATGGAAGCTCTGCACTTTTTCAGACACTGCTGTCATATAAGATTAAAAAGAAAATTAGGAGGCCTAAAATGTATATCTTTTACAATTTGAGGACATTTTGCAGGCTATATTTTTAGTGGGGAATACGTTATTTGTGAACATTTCAAATTCAGTGTAAAACAGAAGTTTCTAGTCAGTGTAGCTTTACAAATGAGTCACAGGTTTGAGAAATGTAAAAATTTGTGTGAGTTGGATTTTGGAATCACTGGCTGAAATCCTGGTGTGCAGTTATGCAAGTGGCATAACGTTTGGAAACCAATTGTCGTAAGTTAAGAAATCTCCATTGGTATTATCTGTTGCATGCCATGTTGTGCATCACAGTATGAAACTGGAGATATCTTAAGACAATTCACTTCTAAGGATTACACTGTTTGAACATGACTGTGCAATAGGATTTCAGCCAATGTCTTGGTAGTTTGCCGTATTCTGTAGCACTATTACTGTTATTACTGCTTCAGTTTTCTGTGCCACATTTTCACAGATATGCTGTTCCTTCAAATTGGATTGCATATTGACTAAATTTTCTTCATTGGATTTGTGTGCCTCTTTTTCTAAAAATGACAGCCAGTTGGGCACCTCTAAGGAAAAAAAAATAGATAATCTGCATTTACTTAAATTTCTTTTGGAGGGTCTGTTTTGGTTGCAAACATTTTTTGGTTGAACAGAAAATTTGACAGACTGGTCCCATATATTGGTGAGCACAGATAGCACCTCTTTTCTACTTAAACAGCAAATAAGAGTTAGATTATTTACAAGAAATATTGTTTTCATCTGAATTCTCAGACTTAAGAACATAGAAACAAATTGTTTTGTGAATAGAGAGGAAGTTCCAGGAGATCAGGTGTTGGGTATAGGCCATGGAATTTTATTGGTGCTGCATATAGTCAGTTCTAAATGTGTTTTACAAGGTATATATAAACAGCACTGTAAAATTTATGGAATGTTAATGTACAGTGTGACTATTTATGAATAAGAATGAAATCTGTATTCTGCTGAAATAAACTGTGAAGGGCGAAATGGATTTTAGAAGTGATTTGATGCTGAATTTCAGAAGCAAAACTAGGGAAGAGATTCCTCTGCTGAGTCGAGAATATGTACAGTGTGTTCACATCATGTCTTTGCTGAAAGGGTTGCTATGGCCATGGACTTTGAGAACTGCAAATGCATTATATAGAAATAGCAGAATCCTCCATTTAGCATGGAGCACAACCTAATTGTTAAGGGCTGCCATATCTAAAGTTGAGATAGCCAAGGTGATATTCAGTCACCAGTTGGAGATGAACAAGAAGAAGAAAATGCCCTCTCAACCCTCAGTACCGTACCAAGGCAGTGAGGAAAGGAGACAGATTGGTCATTCTGGCTCCCAGATTTGTGAGTAGTGGAGGTTACAAGCTGTACAGGTTTATCACATGAATCCTGCCCCATTGCTTATTTGAATCAATCCCACCTTCATATGTGGAGCATAGGCTTAAAATGTGAACTACTTATGGGAAAGCTACATTGATAAATAATATGGAAAATGGTCCAGGTTTGAGATGGATTCATATTATTTTCCATTGATCACACAGTGTATAAGTACAGTAAATACAAATCATCCTGGAGTTTTCCCCACAATCTGTTCTTTTTTATTTCACCAATGGGGCTTCTACTTTTCCCCCAGTTGATTTGCATTGGTTCAGGCCATGTGATTGCTTAAGCCAATTCAGATTCAAAGATGAATGGGTGATGAGAAGCTGGCTTTCCTAGCTTCCTAATCCAAAGTGGTGAGAGAGGGAACAAAGGGATACTTGTAAGTATGTCATTTCTCCTCAGCTGAGCACCCCTTGTCTGCAAAGTACAGTACGGTGGTGCCTCGCACAATGGGTGCCTCACACGTTGTCTGCAAAGTATTTATTTAAATTATTTTTGTTTAAAGGCAAGGTGCCATGTCTTTGGTTGTGTACTAGTATTTTTGTTTAAAGACAAGGTGCCATGTCTTTGGTTGTGTACTAGCGCATGTAGAAGACCAAAAGAGAGAGAAAGCAAAGTGGAAATTGGCAGTCAGCCCTAGTTTACAAGACCAAATGGCAGAAGTTCATTTGCTTTAGCTGACCAGGCAAGAGTCAGAGAGAAGGAAATTGGCAGCCAGCCCTTGTTTGCAGCCTGTTAAGGTAGCTCTACTGTGCATACTGCAAATCTGGATGGGCACAGTACAGTTGCCTTAGTAAATTGCAAACAAGAGCTGATTGACTCTCTCTCCCTCTCTCTCTCTCTCTCTCTCTCTCATATGACTCCTTTGTGATCAGCAAAAGATTCACCTAGAGAAACCTGACTTTCTGGGTGCAAATTAATAGCAGATCACGTCACACTTTTCCTTCTGTGTAGTTGCACCTTTAATTTCATAATTTTGAAAGTTTGCTTCCTTTCTGTCTAGAGAGTTTTTGTTCTTGGTGTGTTGAAATGTGAAAATCTTTCCCTCTCCCATTAATAGAATATGCCCCCTTTTTTAAAAAAGCAGCTGACGAAACATCTAATCCTTCAACTGATTGTGGATGCAGAAGAAATGGAGGGATAGTCTCTTCATAAATAATAACTATGTTCTATCAAGTTGATTCTGACTTGTGGTGAGCCTTTCCAGGTTTTTCTAGCTATAGAGTAAACAGATGTGATTTACCACCCTCTTCTTCTGGGAACACTCCCTAAAACTGATTTCTTAAATACTAAAGCATTTAGAGTACTATTGCTATAGACATGGAGAAGATACTGGGACCCCTGGACCTAGAATTATCTCATCCTTACAAAGTTTGGCATGTTAATGCCTGCTGAATCTTTCATGTGTGGGTCTGGATGAGTGGTTTTAGCAAGCTGGTTGGCCTAAAGGAGAAGCTGTATGCATACATTCAGGCTTGCTGTATGGACCACCCCTGCAAGCTGGGCCTTGTTAATAAATGTATGTTTAACAATGTCTGGAGCATATGAAGTGATAATAACTAAATCAATACCTCCCTCATTGATTGTCCAGGATCCCTCCAGCGTGACGCATGCAGCAATGCAGTAATTTTCCAGCTAACTAGCACCCTGATCTACAGCCCTGCTATTGATTGACCATTGTGTTGGGCAGGCACTGAGTGTTGTTGCTTTTGCCTTTATTCAGCCTCCTTTCTGATTCATTCATTTATTACGGGACAAGGATGATGACCTGAGAGGCTGCTCAAACCGGCAAGCAAATGTTAGTCTCTTATGATTCCTGTAAACAAACTCTTTGATTTCATTGCCTGCCTCTTCCTTCCTATATTCTGCTTTCTGCTGCTTGGCAGTACTCTACGTTTGCTTCAGGATGCTGCCCAGCTCATGAAAGGACAAAAGAAGGGGGAAAGGAAATGCTATATCCAAAAGAATTAAATTGTATGTTTGGCATAAATAAAAATTTTGTGCCAAGGTAATTAAAGCTACTTGATTCTGATTGCAAGATTCAGCTTTTCACATTTAGAACTTTTGAAGAAGGCTTGAAGAAATGAGGATGAGAACTGTCTCCCATTCTCTGGAAAGTTGTAAAGTCTTATTTTAAGTTTGGATGCTGCTTGCTCTTCTGATTAGTAACAGGCTTGTTATAGAACGGAACAGAAATGCCTCAAATAGTAGCAAAAATCCTGTTGCACAGTTGTTGTTGTTGTTTAGTTGTGTCCGACTCCTCGTGACCCCATGAACCAGAGCATGCCAGGCCCTCCTGTCTGTCTGTCTTGGGTGTCCCTGCATGGCGTAGCCCATGGCTTCTCTTAATTACTCAAGCCCCTTCGCCACGACAAGGCAGCAATCTGTGAAGGGGCTGTTGCATAGTATAGGCATGCAATTCCTCACCAGCAAATAAAATGCCCCTGCTGTGGTTCTTGGGGTTCCACACATGCACTGGCTTAGTGCATGTATGAGTACCCCCAAGATCACAGTGGAGGCTATTTACCTGAAACTTACAATTTAGCTTACATTACGCAACAGGATTTTGGCCAATAAGTATTGACTGTTTATTCTATCCACAGTCAGACTGTTACATAGATTTTTAATTTTCAGCATCAAGCTTTTCTTTTTCTACACAAACAGAAGCTTCTCTTACAACAGCATCCCATTAGCTTAGCATCCTTCTAGCTAACAGTTTCATAAAGACATCTAGGATTTGTTTGTTCAGTGTCATCAACAGCTTCTGCTACTACTCAGCCTTCCCCTTGCGCCCCCCCCAGTACAGCATGGGTATGCCCACTTGCATATTTGCACTGTTTATATTACAGTAAACAGTGCATATATGCAAGTGGATATACTGAGAAAATTCTCATACTGGGAAAACTCTCATGAAAAGGGGACAATCACAGTGTCAGTCTTGCCAGAAGCAAGTTGGCATCCTGTTTTCCTCATTTTCTCCTCCTTCCCCCCTCTCTCCTGTATACTTGAAAATAATCTACAATGCTGACTCATTAGTTCATGTGTTATGTACCTTTCTCCTTAGCCTTTGTTTGTAAACTTAATTCTGGATTTGGCTACTGTATGTAATTCTCGGGCATGCAATCTGTATGTGCTTTTTTATATAGTCTGTTCAGTCATTCTTATAAGGGGCCAGGATGCACTCTGTCATCATGTAGTTTGCCTACTGTGTTTGGTACATAATGAAATCAGTGAAATGTTTCTAAGAACTCGGTCAGCCCTGACTTTGTCATCTATTTTAGGATCACAGAAGACTCAGCAGTGACAACATTTGAGGCGCTAAAGGCTCGTGTCCGTGAGTTAGAAAGGCAACTCTCCCGTGGGGACCGCTATAAATGTCTCATTTGCATGGTGAGTAGCTTCTCAGTTGTGGCCGTGAATAAAGCTTGCCTTGTCTATCGCAGAGTGGTATATTGATATCTTGGGGGGGAGAAATGGTAGTCTTGTCCTTTTCTCCATGACTCTAGGGAAACCACACAGCATTCTCTTGCTCCAGAATCAGTTTCAATGTGTGCTGCACTTGTAGTGTTTTAATTGACAGCTTGTCAACTGTTTTGGCGTTGTTGTTACAGATCACTTACTGTATAAGCCTTGCAGTTCTCACTGTATCCACATTCCTCTTTCTGTTTAACTCTTGTAAAGAGGCCAAAATAATTGTTCTAATCCCTGTTATGTTGATTACATATAATATGTTAGGCAAACTGTTGGTTCATGGTTATCTCTGTCTTGACTTGAGCGCCTGACTGTTGTGAGTCACTTATGAAGTGTTAAAGCTCCCTCTAGTGGTTTAGAATCTTCTGCTGTTTGCCTCTCCTGTTTGTGCAGACAGTTCCCCCAGATTTATACCACTTACGTTATGGAGTGCTGGTATCTTCCCTGCTGAAAGGGCTATTACTTCTGAAAACTGTGCTTGCTTTGTACTGTGCTTATGCTCTTACAGGCTTTGCTTTCAAATTAGTGGTGCTACCCATGCTGGTCTTTTTGGCTAAAAAGGAAGGATAAATATTCTAAATAAATCAACATTTTTTTTTGAAAGAAGAAGTAATGAAAAGCTCCCCAGCAGCAGTGACCAGTTCAACTCTTTTTTCATTTTCTTCCCCCCCCCCTGAGAAATCAGCAGTCTTTCTACCCTCCTAAATGAATATTTTCATCCTTGTAATTTTTTAAAAGGCTTGTCTCTTCTAGCTGCCTATCCTTTCTGTCCCTGCATTACATTTGCACACTTTCATCATTTGTGCTGTAGAGCTAGGCTAGCATCAACAGAGCAAAGAGAGAACCCTTTTTAAATATTTACTGCCTGCACATGCCTTTAGATATTATTTTTAGTTCTCTTTGGTTGTGAAAGCAGTTCAAGTAAATGAGGGCTGCTGAAAAAGAAGAGGAAACTCTCCAGTAAAAGTTAGAGATGAGATTTGTTATTGCAATAGCTAGAGAGTTTCATAACAGGAATTTTCTAAGAGAGATTCCAGGGCCTTTTCATTTGAAACCAGTCTCTTCAAGATTAATACTGTTTTTGGCAACATCTCCTATATGACCTGCTAACTTTATCTTGTGGTTCACAGCAATGGGGTAGGAAGGTGATGACCCTATCTATAAGTAAACACACTGTGCTGTATTTGGACTGTGTGATCTTTGAAACTGCAGTGCTTCCCATTTCATTCTGCCCATTGTGTGAGGCGTAACCCAGAGGTGTAAACTTCTCAGCTGGAGAAAATCTGAACAGGTTTGGTTTGAATGTGAAAAGGAAAATGTTTTGATGATGTAGTTCTTCCCCATCCTTCCTCCAGGACACATTGGGGAATTACCTTGAAATTTAAAAGGCACAATGAGACTTTTTCTGCTTTTCCTCTACAGGATTCATACACAATGCCCCTGACCTCCATCCAGTGCTGGCACGTGCACTGTGAGGAATGCTGGCTGCGGACTCTGGTGAGGCTTTTGGGGGTTTTGAATGGTGGTACATATACACTACCTGGCTTCTTGCTCATTTTTTTCAGTTTGATATTCCATTTGAATTGTCCTTGGAATACAGTTGTTGCTATTTAGTCGTTTAGTCATGTCCGACTCTTCATGACCATGGACCAGAGCACGCCAGGCCCTCCTGTCTTCCACTGCCTCCCGGAGTTGGGTCAAATTCATGTTGGTAGCTTCAATGACACTGTCCAACTGTCTCGTTCTCTGGTGTCCCCTTCTCCTCTTTCCTTCGCACTTTCCTAACATCAGGGTCTTATGCAGGGTGTCTTCTCTTCTCATGAGATGGCCAAAGTACTGGAGCCTCAGCTTCAGGATCTGTCATTCCAGTGAGCACTCAGGGTTGATTTCCTTCAAAATGGATAGGTTTGTTCTCCGTGCAGTCCAGGGGACTCTCAAGAGCCTCCTCCAGCACCACAATTCAAAAGCATCAATTCTTTGGCAGTCAGCTTTCTTTATGGTCCAGCTCTCACTTCCATACATCACTACAGGAAAGGCCATAGCTTTGATTATGCAGACTTTTGTCGTCAAGGTGATGTCTCTGCTTTTTAAGATGCCGTCTAGGTTTGTCATTGCTTTCCTCCCAAGAAGCAGGCCTCTTCTAATTTCATGGCTGCTGTCCCCATCTGCAGTGATCATGGAGCCCAAGAAAGTAAAAACTGTCACTGCCTCCATATCTTCCCCTTCTATGTCTGCTTTATTGTTAAACATGTAGATCTTGCCCTCTTCCCCCATACTCACTTTGACTTAGTCTCTCACCTCCCCATTAACCTCTGCTGGATGATTGTTATCTGGACAACCACTCAGCTTGGGTGATAGGCCACGATGAGAATCTCAAGGAGTTGTATGCACTGGGCAGCATCCCTTCAAGGGCCTTAGCCCATCATGTCTCTCTCTGTGTGTATGCGCATGTTTGCTGTAGAAGCACATTTTATTTGTCCATCTCTATAGCTGTGCCCCAGCCTTTTTGTAGAAGTATGGTTTAAAATTAAACTGCAAGCTGAGCTGTTCTCTATGAGGAAGTGCTAGCTATTTTAGCTAGTGTATTAGAAAGAAAGAGTGTTGTGTGAGTATGGATTAAGAGCTAGAACTTTGGAGGTGCTGGATTCAGAGGAAATAGAAATATAGACTTTTGCTTTGCTAGAATGATGGATAGCATTGCCGAGCCGGGGGAGCAGGAGGAGGTTTTGATTCTGGATGTCTATGTGAGAAAGCAGAGGAAAAAGAAGTGAAAACTGTCCTTCAAATGGATCTTAAAATGCAGGTACAAATATCCTCTGTTTTAGTCAGAGTATAGGACTTTGTGGAGCTCTACTTGTTCTGGAGGAAGAAGACAGCTTGATGGCCTTTACAGTCATTCCTTCCATCTGCAGCCCTCCATGCCTCCTAAAAAAGTTACAGTGAAGAACTGGGGCAAAACTGGTGACATGGGGAGCTGCCAGAAGATCACGAACTCACCTCCTTCCTCCAGTGTGGAGCTGCCTCTGGAAGGAATTCTGAGTTCATGGAATGGCCAATCTGGATCCAATCCAGTGTGTTTTTCTGGAAAAGAAAAAGGATGAGGAGAATACAAGAAGCTGAGCTATACAGTGGGGTCTTGACTTGAGAACTTAATCCGTATTAGAAGGCAGTTCTCAAGTCAAAAAGTCTGTAAGTCAAGTCTCCATTGACCTACAGTGCATTGAAAACCGATTAATCCCGTAACAGGCCGTTTTTGTTCCATTTTGGTTTTTTTCTGGTCTGTAAGTCAAATCTCAGTCTGCAAGTCAAACCTAAATTTTGCGGCCAGAGAAGTCTGTAACTCAAAAAGTCTGTAAGTCAAGCCGTCTGTAAGTCAAGGGTCCACTGTAGTATGTACTGTATCTTGAATGAGAAGCAGGTATGCCTATCTGTGTCTTGTAAAAGCCACATCTGAAGTGGTCCTGTTTCCAAAATGCAACTACTGGATTTGTAGAGAGGAAAAACTTTATAAAGTTTGGCTAGGGGATACCTGTGAGGGGAAGAGAAAGTTTAAATTTGCCACTCTGCCACGCTCTTTGTATGTTCCCTGTACTGACTGAATAGAACATTCAGAGCTGGGAATTGTATGGGGAAGCAATTAATAAGTGGTCACTCATCTGCTCCCCAGCCCTCACCTTCTCCCTACAGCCCAGAATTTATTAAAGCAGTGCGGTTTGCAAAGCAGGCAGTGTTCTCTCTTCAAAAAAAAAATCCCTTAGCCTATGTTCGCATGTTTCTAATGTAACCATTAAAATGTAGCCTGAAGACAGCAATAAAAACCCTGGAACGCCTTAGTGCTTTTGTGTCTTGATCAAAGTCAATGTGTGTAATCTCGTTAAGGCTGCCCTTCCTTCCCCCTCCTCCTCTTTATGAATTTAATGGCATGCGGCAGCTGGGCTGGGTGTTTCATACTCACCAACCTGCATTGTTCTAATTAAGGTATCTCCTTTTATTTTAGGCACAAAAGAGGCACTTGTGTGTGTATGTTGTTTATTTAACTTGCAAACTGGGGGATAATTGATTTAATAATTGACACAAGTTGCCTTTCTCTGGATGTAGAGCTGGTTTCCCTCTTGGTGAAGAGAGTGTAGAGACCACTGTGTGCATGTTGAAAAATGTGCCTTGCAAAGGGGCAGTATAGTTCTTATATTGTACAATAAACAATTTGTTGCACTTAATGGGAGTTATGGGCGGCGGGGGGGAGACTGGCTTTCTAGGTTTTCTGCCTGAGATATTTGAACATTTCTGGAGATCTGCCATTCTTCTCTTGTCAGGGAGAAATCAAGTTTTTTCTCCTGTTTCTGTGTTTTATAAGACCAAGTTAAATGCTTGCTTGTGCTGCTTTAGATTATGGGCTGTGTAAAGAAACTAAGCAAAGTGGGCACAAACGTCTGAAAATTGGGAAGGAATAAACACACGCAAAATGCAATGGTATTTCCAGGGTGGGAAACAGTGTTTAAAATTAGTTATGAGAATACATCAGTAGAGGTGTACTTTCAAAACAACTCATAGCTATGAGGAAATTTAAACTCAGTTTAATACTACTGTATTTTTCTGTTTATAACGCACCTCTATTTATAAGACCCCCCCCCCCCAATTTTCTAACCCAAAAATTAAGAAAACTTAGCTTTGAGGATTCAACCTCTGGGCTCAGAACATGGGATATTTGGAGTCTCCGTTGAATCTGAACCTACAGACTCCACCTCCAAGGAGGTGTGTTCCAATTGGTTTGTTCAGGATCAGCTGACATCAGTTCCGTAAGGCTTATGATTGGAGGAACCTAAGTCTCCTGCCTGTAGGAAACTAAGCCTCGTGGCTGAAGGAAGCCTGTTTACAGAGGCAAGGTATGTGCCATTTTATTTATTTATTATTTATTTTATTTATTTAATTTATATGCCGCCCACACTACCCAAAGGTCTCTGGGTGGCTTGTTCTCCCCTCAGCTATCTCAGCTTACTTCTGTGTAAAAGACGCCCCTCAATTTTTAATGTAACAATTTTAGGAAAAAAGTAGTGTCTTATAGATGGAAAAATACAGTGTTTTGCCAAGCCTTACTCATTCCTCTCTAGTCACAGCCGACAAATTCAGACATGGGAACTCTTCCCAAAGAGTTGAGACACTGGAATAATATGGGGCATACGGACGTATTAGCATTCTTCCTTCTTCAAAAACCAAAAAACTTACTTTTCAGGATTTGCATGAACTTCAAAATATGGTATGATTTGGGCAGTTGTGTGATTCCCTCCATTCTTGCCACAGTCCTGATATTACAAGAGGCATTGATAAAGTGTTATGGCACTGCTAACCAGTCATGCAGCAAAATATGTTGAGAAGACAAAACATACATATACACACAGTGAAGGAGCCATATTACCCCTTCTTCTGCTTCAACTATTCTCATGTATTTTGGTATTCTGGCAAAATGAAACACTTCTGATTAGCATCATTCAGTACTTGGCCAACACAGTCAGTGGCAACCTTATGTTAAAGGCCACAAACTCAGTGAGTTTACCTGAGCAAGATATTGTCATTTGAGCCAAACTAAAATATGATTTTAGTAACCTTACAAGGCTGTTTAGATTAAAGTTGTGCAGATTTATATTTTTGAATTCTGGGAGCTGAAGTCCAGAAACACAAATCTGCACAGCTTTAGTCTGAATTATTTTGGCAATCATAGAACTCAGGCTAGAGCGATTTCAGGGATCATGGAGTCCGGCCCTCTGTCAAAGCAGGAAGTCTCCACTAAAACATCCCTGAGGGATGATCATCCAACCACCATCTGGAATGGAGAATACACCACCCTACAAGGCAGTCCACTCAATTGTCAAACAGGTCTCATTGTTAAAGAAGGTCTGCTTAATGTTGAGTTGAAATCTCCTTTTCTTCAGTTTTAAATCGATTGCTTTTTACTAACCTCTGGGATTTTAGGAAGGAAGCTTGTTCTAGCTTCCATGCAACAGCCTTAAAATATTTGAAGCTTGCTATCATCTCAGTATTCTCTTCTCCAGACTAAAAATGCCCAACTCCCTCAACTGTTCCTCATAGGGCTTGGTTTCCCTTATCAACCTGATGATCCTCCTCTGAATATGTACCAGCATCTCAATATATTTCTTAAAGTGTGGTGCCCAGAACTGGACACAGTATTCCAGATGAGGCCTGACCAATGTAGAGTAGAGTGGCAGTTTTAATTCCCTTCATTTGGATACTATACTTCTCTTGATGCAACCGAGTTTCACATTCTGGGGCAGGGGCTGTAGCATCACACTGTTGACTCACATTAAAGTTGTGGTCTAGGAGAACTTCCAGGTCCTTTTCACATTAACTATTGTCAAACCAACTGTCTCCCATCCTGTATTTTACATTTAAATTTTCCTATATAAACACACAATTTCACATTTTTTTCCTGCAAAATACTCTAAATGCTTGAAAAGTGCAGTTTAATCCTTTGTTACAGATTA